GCTACGGGAGACCGGCCCAGGTCTCAAAAAGGTTGCCTGTCCCTGGTTCACATTATGTTATATAAATGATTTTTAAGCAGCCTCAGGAATCTTTTCAGCTAAAGAGCAGGGTATAATTATTCTAAAAAACCCAAACACTATTATAGCTTGAATCTCCCTTATCTGGAATTCCAAAATCCAAATATACCCCCAAAAGCCATTTTTTTCAAATGTGAATGAGATAGTGCTTTCTGATGTTTCAATGTACAGCTTCTTTGATTCATAAAATTATTAAAAATATTGCATACAATTATCTTTATATGTGTATATGAAATATAAATCAATTTTGTGTTTAGACTTGGATCCCATTTCCAAGATATCTCATTATGTAGGTATATGCAAATACAAGTATTCTGAAATAAAAAACAAAACAAAAACAAAAAAACACAAAATCTGAAATCTCTGGTTACAAGCATTTTGGATAAGGGAGACACAACCTGTACTACTTTTGTAAAATTCTTATCAGGAATAAATAAGTGAAATTCTGACCAATCTACAGCTCTCCCCAGAATGAAGAAGACCATGTTCTACCTGCCTGCCAGGTAGTTTTAATGTTGAGGCAGCTATCAGAAAAAATAAAATAAAAAAGAAAGTGTAGTGTAGTGGTTTGTGTTGGACTGGGACTTTGGGTGACCAAGGTTCAAATCCCCACCAGGACATGAAAACCCACTGGGTGATCTTGGGCAAGTCACACACTCTCAGCCTCAGAGGAAGGCAAGGGCAAACCTACTGAAGAAATCTTGCCAAAAAAACCCTGTGATAACTTCACTTTAGGGTCACCATAAGTTGTAAATGACTTGAAAGCACACAACAAGAACTGGTTAGGGGGCTTCCCATTGGGCCAGTTGAATGCCCACTGCAAGAGCAGAAAACATCACAATTATTAGCAGTTGACTATCCCTTTAACTGCTATCTCTCCACCCTCTGGAATGCTGGGATTTGTAGTTCTAGTGCTATAATGCAGGGAAGCAGACTACCACTCTAAAGCAGCTAATTTTAAGACACCAAAGTGCCAGGAATTCCCAGGATTCCATAGATGGAGCCATGGCAGTTAACGTAATATCCAACTGCTTCAGCTTTGGAGTTTGGATGCACAATGGATTAAGCAGGCTTTTTAATCTGATCTGGCAGGGCTCTTCTTGGGTTATTATGAATTGAAACAGCTTCTCAATGGAACCAAAAGCACATACCCTGCATAAATTGGGAGGATTGTGGAGAATGTGGAAGACGGATGAAATTTTTAAAGCAACAATAGCACTCATTCACTTACCTTTTAAGAGTTAAGAATGACATGAGAAGAATGAAAAGGCTTCCAGTTAGAATGGGACAATGTTATTCAACACCGCAGTCAGTTTATGGACTCTTAAGGAAAATGTATTAGGCGCTGAGCCAATGGATGGATGCACAGGTGCCAGCAGTAATATTAAGAGCATTTAACCTGTTATAGTTGGTTTGCCAGCTGTGACCCAAAAAACATAAACTCAAAGAATGAGTTAAAAAAAAAAGGGAGGAAACCTCCACAGCAATAACAAAAACAAAACATAATGTGCAGTCAAAACAGTACTACACACTGTATTAATAAATCAGAGAAAAAGGAGTTAGAATCAATAATCATTACCATTCATAGTATGTGGTACAGATAATGTGTCTTACCGTTTACATGCATTTTTGTTGTTGTTGTTAACTGCCCTCAAGTCGATCTCAACTCATGGTGGCCCTATGGATGAGAGATCTTCAAGACCCTCTGTCCTCCACTGTTCTGGTTAAATCCTGCAACCCTTCAATACCTGTGACCTCCTTAATAGAGTCCATCCATATAGCATGTTTTCTGGCTTGATCTGCTCTAGGACCCATTTGTTTGTTGTTTTGGCTGTCCATGGGATCCTCAGCACTCTCCTTCAGCACTACATTATCTCAAATGCATTGATTTTCTTCCTATCATCTTAACTGTTCAGCTCTCATATCCATACATGGTAATAGGGAATACTGTGGTTTGTATGATTCTAACTTTTGTGCTGAGTTCTATATCTTTGCATTTTAGAATCTTTTCTAATTCTTTCATAGCCATCCTCCCCATTCTTTATCTTCTGATTTCCTGACTGCAGTCCCCATTTCTATCGATGTTTGATCTCAGGTATGTGAATTCTTTTACTATTTCTATTTCCTCATTGTCTAGGTTGAACTTGTGAAGGTCCTTGGTGGTCATTCTTTTTGTTTTCTCTATGTTCAACATTAAGCCTGCCTTTGCACTTTCTTCCTTGATCTTCCTTAGTATGTCTTCCAGATCTGTGAGATTTTCTGTTAGTATTATGGCGTCATCTGCATATCTTAGATTGTTGATATTCCTTCCTCCTATTTTCACCCCTCCTCTTTCTGTGCCCAAGTGTGCTTTTCTTACAATATGTTTTGCATATAGGTTGAATAGGCACGGTTAAAGGATACAGCAGGGGTAGGCAACCTTTTTGAGCCGGGGGCTGGGTTGCTGTCCCTCAGACAATTGGGGGGGCCAAAGCACCATAAATAAATAAATAAATATTTTTTTAAAAAAATTAAAAAATTAAAAAATATGCATGCACACTCTCTCAGCCCCAGAAAAGCCATGGCAAACTGCCTGTGAAGATTTTGCTAAGAAAACCCCAAGAACAAGTAATAACAACAATAATCAATATTATCATGGCGGGGGGCGGCGGCAGTGGCAGGACCGGCCTAGGTTGCCTACCCCTGGGATACAACCTTGTCTCACCCCTTTGACAATTGGGAACCATTCTGTTTCTCTGTGTTCTGTTCTGACAGTAGCCTCTTGTCCTGAGTACAGATTCCTCATCAGGACTATCAATGTGTTATATTATATTTACCTAAATAATATAAAACATAAAAAGCATTGTTTTTCAGTGGCACCCTATTACTGCACACCAGTTCATGCTCATAATTCTGGCAAGCACACAGGGAACATTTGGCTTAATTGAATTTAATTCTGAGCAGCACATCCCTCCGGGAGCTTTGCTTATTTTTCATAGTTTATTTTGCTTTTTTTGCAACCTGGCTGAGGCTTGCCATAAGAATAATTTCCCCAAGTTGCATCTCCTGCTGAGTTATGGCCTTTGTTGTAGAAAGCTTTTCCATAAATGTGTTGTAATACCTGATTTGCAATTCAAGCAGAAATTGAATAGAGGAAGGGGTGGGATGTGGGGAGAAGGCAGTGAGTGAAAGACTTGTTAAGAAACGGTCTTTGAGATGAATGTCCACTAAGAGTTATGGAGCTGTCTTCTGCATGACATCCTTTGCTCCAACAATACATTTCACAGCTATTTTAAAATGTAAATTGTGGGTAATAAATTGAGCCACAGCAGCTCTGATGTCACTGAAGCCGTGAATCTGTTCTGGGTTTTAGCCTACACTGAGTCCAAAATTTATTCTGAGGATAGAGTTACATGGCATAGTGGTTTGAGTGTTGGAGTATGACCCTGAGGACCAGGGTTTGATTCCCAGCTTGGCCATGAAACCCACTGGATGACTTTAGGCAAGTGACATGCTCTCAGCCTCAAGGGAAAGCAATGACAAAACCTCTTCTGAACAAATATTGCCAAGAAAACCCCCTGATAAGGTTCCCCTTAGGTTCACCAAAAGTTGGAATCAACTTGAAGGTACACAACAACAAATAACATAACTCATTTACAGTTCAGACTGAGATTACTAAATGCAGCTTTTAAACCATGATAGACGTGGATAAAAGCCACTTTGATGATACTTATCACATGACAGTGCTTCTGATCTGTAGCTGCTGTGTCTCTTTTCATTGACAAGGGAAACTTGTCAATGAAAGACCCCTGGTTCAAAACATTGTTGCTGGGGCAGTTACAATATTGGCAGTCATGTGGTGTCAGTATCTCCTCCTTTCCCTGGTCCCCTTTCTCCATTGCTAATCCAAAGCAGGCTGATTTATTTTTTCCCTATTTCTTTTCTCTCTTTTTTTTTTAAAAAAAACAACAACACACAAACAAACTTAAATCACAGAAGCAGAGCTTTGGAATGGCATGAAAATGTGAAAATTAAAATTAAAATTAAAAAACCCAAAGACATAGGGCAGGGATGTGGAGTTATGGGGGAATGCAGAAGAGAGCACAATGACAGCAGCAACCTCATTTACACGATTATGAAGACATGCGATAATGGCTACTCTGAAACTGTTATGTTTCTATTTTTAAAAACGGAAACAATTACCGTGAGAACGGGCTGTGTGTGGTAATCTCCTAAAACCACAAGCAGAGTCAATGCCCGACTGACATTAGAGCCACCAGCTTCCATTAGAAATACTGGAATAGTTCAGTTCAGAGCTTGGGAAATTTGATTTTTTTTTAAAATTATAATAATTTTTTTTCAG